CCAATTGTAATGACTCCACAAGTATGAAATTTGATTGAAAACTCACGGAATTACTCTCTCACGAAGTTAGCGATCTCGGCAGAATATACGCATCGGCGATTTCACCGACTTTGAGCCCAATTTTCGGCTAATTCCATTGTTCCAGTTGACCAAACTCATGGGCATTTCTTTAGAATTCCATTTTTTCTATCAATTGAATACAAGAAACTGCCCATTTACTGATTTCAACTACCCAATAAAGTGGTCAGAAATTGGCAAATTGTCAATTTCATGCAAATTAACCCTTTCAGGGTCAGCAGGCCCTCTCCTAAACTTGTTCTCAGGGTCGGAAATTTTTCAAAAAAAAAATTATTTTTTCTTATGAGATGATAGAGAATCTTTTCCCGATCATAATGACACCAAAATTATGAAATTTGATGGAACACTTACGGAATTATGCTCTCACGAAGTTAGCGGTCTCGATGATGTTTATGCATTGACGATTTCGCCCACTTTGAGCCATATTTTTGGCCAATTCCAATGTACCAGTTGACAGAAGTCATAACTATTTTGCTAGAACACTATTTTTTCTATCGAATGAGTATAAGAAACCACCCATTTACTGATTTCAACTATCCAATAAAGTGGTCAGAAATTGGCAATTTTGCCAATTTCACACAAATTTCAAAAAATGCCAATTTCCAAATAGGGTCCAGAATAAACAAGACAGACATTCCTGGCACTAAAATAAAAAAAACTTCTATTCATTAGTCATGTCCCCAGGCCTCTCTTACATTTCTTTTGCTTTCCACTTAGAATTTTTATTCTCACAAAAAAATAGAAGATTTACTGTTATGCAGACTACTGCATTAGTGTAGAAATGGTATAAATAATATCAGTGCACTTGTGAAAGAATATCAGACTCACCAGTTGATGTGCATTGGACTCGTGGCATGATTTGTTTACTTTTGAACTTTGGCAAAAATCGAAAATTTCTGCTACTTTGAGCTCAATTTCAATGTACTTTTCATTGTGAAACCAGTCAAAATCATTTAAATTTCTGTAATGTGTCTTCCATTCTATAAAATGAGACCAGGAAAACTAGAATACAACCATAAATAGCATTTGAAAATATACTGCAAAGTCGCAAAAACACGGTCTTTTTTTTCTCGTTATGCACTGTGTGCTGCAGGATTTTTTTAATACTGTGCACACTGATCACATAGATCCATTCTTTTGTATGTAGGCCTACCAGCTTTCTCTTGCTAGATTTGAAGGTGCTAGAATTTATGCGTACTAGTTCGGCACCAACCCTGGCGTGCAAGCCTGCAAAGGTTAAAAAAGATGCCAGTTTCAAAATATGGTCCAGAATAAACAATGCAGACATTTTGGCACTAAAATAACATATCCTCTGTTCATTAGCATCTCCAGGCCTCTCTATATTATATTACTCTTGTTTTCTATTTTGATTTTTTATTCACACAAAAAACAGAAGATTTACTGTTATGGAGACTACTGCATTATTGTAAAAATGGTATAAATAATATCAATGCACTAGTGAAAGAATATCAAACTCCCCAGTTGACGTGTATTGAACATGTGGTGTGATTTGCTTACTCATAAACATTGGTAAATATCAAACATTTCCGCTACTTTGAGCTCAATTTCAAGGTTGTTTTCATTGTGAAACTAATCAATATCATCTCTATTTCTGTAATATGTTTTCAATTCTGTCGAATGAGACCAAGAAAATGAGAATATAACCATAAATACTATAGGATAATTCACCTCAAAGTCGGCATTTTAATCCAAAAACACAGTCGGAGTTTTTTTCTCTCATGCACTGCGTGCTGCAGGATTTTTTTTATACAGTACACACTGACCACACAGACCCATTCTCTCAAATGTAGGCCTACCAGCTTTCTCCTGCTTGATTTGAAGCCGCTAGAATTATTGAGTATATATACCTCTGAAACACTGGCTCGTAAGACGTATATATACGGCAGAAACAGTCAAAGGGTTAAACATTCTCCTGCACCTGCAGTAAGATGTGTACACTCAAGGTTAACAGTGATGAGTAATGTCAGTCTGCCTGGTTCAACCATTCCCAAACTTTTCCAGCAGTTTTGTGTACTGTATTGACATGTATTATGACATTAGTCTATAGATGTACATGTTTGTTACTCTTATGAAAGTATCTAGAGAGAGGCATGTCTTTATCCCCAGAGAAGATACAAGCAGGCCCCGTTTTACAGCACTTTTTTAATGCAGCGGTTTTCAGTTATCCATTCTTCATTTATTCGGACTTCCTATAATAAATATATTCACTATTCACTATAAGCTAACAACAAAATTATTTTAAGGTAAGTAATGTGTGTGTACTGTGTGTACCGGCGAATAAAAAAAAAAATACGCATTTTTTAGGCCTAGTCATATTACTCACTTATATATAATAGTGTAAACATGTTTTCAGGCTATTGAAAAGTAACTATGATTCACTTTACATCAATTTTTGCTTTACAGCAGTAACCTGTAACCTCACTGCTGTATAAGCGGGGCCTTCCCATAAATTGAAAATTTAAATGTACTCTTGTCATAACAGTTGTTACACAAAAATGTGGGATAGCTGGGGGCTTGAGCCTGGTCTAAGGGCAAAGGTAAAAGTTACACACATCTCAAGCCCAAACCGGCCACCCAGGGGTATCCCAGTCAAAACAGAAAGCGCTAAACTGGTATGTGTACTTCAAGGGGTTGGGTAACAGAGGGTTAGGCAAAAATCCCAATTAGGAAAATATATCTATTTAGTCACCATAACATAACATAACAGAAAAGCCTTAATTCTAAACGCCCAAATGAGGGTACACACAACAGCTGGCTGGAGGTTCAGCCACCATAACCACTAGGCTTCGTTAGCGTCAGGCCGTCATTACACTACAAACCTCATTTCTTATTTTTTCACTCATCCCACAGCACCCTGACCATGTCAGAGCCTGGGTGAACATACAGGTAAGCCATATGCGAGCCTATGGCTTGAGTTGGATAAACAAAATGAGTGTACAACTACAAACTTATCTTAAATACACAGCATCTCCGACGCCAGCCTCTACACACCATGCTAATGTCACGTGACTCCCTCAAACCACCTTACTCCGCGTACCCAAACATCCTTGGAAAATAAATCATTAACAGAATTTCTTTATAATTACAGTTAGAGTACTTTACAGTACCCCCAAATGCACATTATAAATTATAAAATTATTCTTTACAACTATAATATTCATATTATTATGGCACACTTCTCCACTATATGTACATTATGATGTCATGCAGAACCCTGCATAACAACAGTCAGATTTGTTAGAATTTTTTCCTTTAAAGTGACTGTGGTATCACCATTGGAATTTTATATCAGTACAGTGGAACCTCGGTTTTCCTTTACCCTGGTTTTCGTCAAATTCAGTTTTCAATTACTTTTTTCTTCAAAATTTTGCCCCAGTTTTCGTTTGTTACCTTGGTTTTCATCAGCTGTACCGAATGTGTCCGCCTGCCCACACCCGCACAAAGCATCCCATGCACGCGTTCTGAGTCAGTCTGGCTTTGTTTATCGTCGAGTAAACATTATCCTGCACTTTCATATGAAACATTTGGTAATAATCCATTGTTTTTTGTGCTTGTTTATTGAGTACAACTGCTAAATAAGTCACCATGGGGCCAAAGAAAGTTCCGAGAAATTGTGACCAGAATGTGTTCAAGAGAAGGATTTTGAAGGTTTGAGGCTCACCCTGACAACCCTATGCCTGTTGTGGAGTCTATTGTGGGTTTGGGGAAGTCCATGGGGTTGGATGTGAGTGAACAGGATGTGTAAAAGTTGGTGGATGACCACAGGGAAGAGCTAACTACTGAAGAGCTGCAATGCCTTCAACTGCAACAGCAACAGATCGCAACTGAGGAAATTGCTTCAGAGGAGGAGGAAGAGAGAGGGGAGAATGTGCCTTCTTCAGTGATTAAGGACATGTGTGCAAAGTGAAGCGAGTTGCAAAGTTTTGTGGAGAAATATCAACCTAACTAAGCTGTTGCAAGCCATGTCTGCAACATGTTCAATTACAATGCCATGTCCCATTTTTGGCAAATCTTAACCGTTAAACTCTCCAAACATAGATCTATGTTTTTTCAACATTTGAAAGTATGTATGTAAAGGGTGTAAAGCACCCTTCTGGCAAGACAGTGATGGAGTGAATGATGGTGAAAGTTTTTCTTTTTCGGGCCACCCTGCCTTGGTGGGAATCGGCCGGTGTGATAATAAAAAAAATAAAAAAATTTCAAAATGTGTAAAAAAACTTTGATCAACATTTTTTTTTGTTTTATTTGAAAATATGTAAAAAAACGTAGATCTACTTTTGGAGCACTACGCATGTGAACATAGATCTGTTTTGACAGTTTAAGGGTTAAAGAGACACCAGACACAGACCTTTCTGGACAGATTTTTTGTGTGACAGGGGTCCAGTGACTCAAGCTGGTCCTAGTGCCAGTAAAAGACAAAGAAGGGAAGTAACCCCAGATAAGGACTTGATACCTGAAGTCTTTATGGAATGGGATTCCCTTTCCAAACAATAACCTCTCCTCCTCCTCCCTCTCCCCTCCTCACCATCTTCCATATGCCAACAAGAGTCTTCAATAAAGGTAAAAGTTATGTTAATTGTTCATTTATCCATTTCATTAGTCCTTTTTATTTATTTCTCATTGTTTTCTGTATGTAAAACTATAATTATTCTCTATAAAATGTATTTTTTGTTAACACTTCTGGGTGTCTGGAATGGATTAATTGGATTTACATTGTTTCATATGGGAAATATTGCTTCAGTGTTCATCAAATTCGGTTTTCGTCAGACTTTCTGGAACGAATTACGGACGAAAACCGAGGTTCCAATGTATGTAGTTTACGTAGCTTGTGTATTGTCTAGTATTTCTAGATAGTCTTAGTTTTTCTGAAATGGTACTTACTGTTCAACTTTTTTTTACAGATGATCCGTGCACTGGCAGTGCAGTAACATACATTCACTGGTAACATCGTGTCATCAGTGCAGTAGCATACATTCACTGCTAACATCCAGTGTCATCCAACTCAAGAAATGGCAGCAATACTGGGTACTACCAGTATCGGCACCAAGTTGCAATCACTGTCCGAAATAGTTAATCTATAATATTATAAAGGTAAAGCCAAGCATCTCGGTATATACTGTCTGAACACTGTTAACCTGTATGTGTTAGGCTACCTGTCCAAACTTACAATGTACAAAGACATCACCTTGTTGTAGTCACATATGTTAACAGGAAATACAGATACAGAGTGTAGCAACATACAGTACTGAGTTGATAACACTTACATGGCAGCTAGAGTGCATCTGCTGAAGACATGGCTATTAATAATTTACACAGTGACAACTTACACTTCTGTTGCTTATGAGAGATTGTGTAGGAAGAGTCTTATATCACTAATCACTTGGAAGTTTTGAGCTCTTATAGAATATTGTTCTTTAGGGGAACTCAGTACTTATTGTATATTTTATACATGTATACTTAAACTATATTTTGTCATCAAAATATGCCAAGGACTAACATTAATTTATTACCAGTTTGTTTTGTCTATAAGTACTCATTAAGAGTATGTTTTAGATGTCAGGTAATATTGAATGAAAAACCCTCATCATTTTTCAAAATACAGTAATAGGGTAGTACTGACCTAAAACTGAGCATCAGTATTGGAAAGATTTTGGTGTTGTCCAATCCTTATACAGTAAGTCTACTCTAGGAAAATGTGAGCATTTGCAAATGATTAAAATACAAGTTTTTATTCTACTAAATGACTGGCAACATTATTGTCAACTGCTGTATACTGTAACATAAATCATAAATGTATTTATTGTTAAAAACTTGAAAAAGTAAAGCAAACATGAGTATTCGTTCAGTTAAGAAACCTTTACAGTGCTCAGTTTGCCCAAAAGTTTTTTCGTGCAAGTTTCGTCTCATGACTCACTATAGAACTCACACAGGAGAGAAACCACATCATTGCCCAGTGTGCCAAAAAGGTTTTAATGAAAAATACAAACTAAAACAGCATCAGAAAATTCATACAGGAGAAAGACCACATAACTGCCCAGTGTGTCAAAAAGGTTTTATTTATAAATCTAAACTAAATCAACATCAGAGACTTCATACAGGAGAGAAACCATTTCAGTGTTCAGAATGCCTAAGAGACTTTATTGATAAATACTCACTAAAACAACATCAGAGAGTTCATACAGGAGAAAAACCATTTCAGTGTTTATTGTGCCAAAAAACGTTTAAACAGAGCAGCAACCTCACCACACACATGAGAGTTCACACTGGAGAGAAACCATATCAATGCTCAGAGTGTCCACAAACATTTTCAGTAAAATGTTCTCTGGTAAAACACATGCGTAATCATACAGGAGAGAAACCGTATCAGTGTTCAGAGTGTTCAAAAGCATTTTCAAGACACTATGCTTTAGTTGCACATATGACAGTCCATACAGGACATAAACCGTACAAGTGTTCAGAATGTCAGAAAGGTTTTTCAACAAAAGCACAGTTAACATTACATTTAAAAGTACATTCTAAAGAGAAACAATATAGTTGCTCAGTGTGTTCTAAAAGCTTCTCACAGGAATTAAGTTTAGTAAAACACACAAAAAGTCACAGCAGAGAACAAACTCATCAGTGTTCAAGGTGTCTAAAAAGTTTTTTACATGAAACTAATCTAGTAAATCATATGAAAACTCATATACAAGAGATAATCAACAGTGATGTTTAGTGTTTAGAAAACTTTCAAGAAAATCCTATCTTGTAAAAAACGACTCCAGCAAGAAAACTCCAGTTTAGTTGATGTTTTTTATTAGAATCACAATATAAGTATCAGAGTTGGCAGATGGGAAAAATAAGAACACATTCAAAATAAAGCAAGTAATAAAATAAGAATAAAATACAGTGAAACAAAACAACGCCCCCAGGGCCGCGGGGGCATTGACCTCTGAAACTCTCTCCAGGTATACTCCAGGTAAGGGGTGTGCCTTGATAGTAATGAGTTCTTGTTCCAAGGAACTGTATATCTCCTTCAAGGAGGGTTCGTTGTAGTGGTGAAGGAGGATTTGGACCTCTTCTCTCCTTCCTTAGATCAAATCTGAATACATTGGTCACATTTCTCTCCTCTTTTGGAAAAGAGTGGAGATATTTCCTACTTTGTAAAATTGTGCTCCTTTTGGAAAGAAATAGTTAACTTTGTTGCTCTAATCTTGCATTCCTTCAGATGGTAGTGCCATATTGTTTGTCAACTAAGTGGAGGAAATTGATTCATCTGGAGGACCTCTTGGGTGGCTGCAGGCAGGACATTGGGTAATCATGCAACAGGCCTTCTGATGGGAGGAATACTAGTGAATGTTACCTGCAGTTCCAACAGTGGCAGCTGAAGGTGTACAACTCATGGTGTTCATTGTGGTTTCCCCTCCACCATTATTAGCTGTATGATGTTGGCCCCTCTGGTACTCTTTCTAATCAGCTGGCTTTGCTAATCATTGCTCACTTCTGGAGGTTCCATCTAGGTAGTTTATACCTGGTAGATGTGGTTTGTAGGGAAGGTGGATGGCAATATTGATGGTGTTGATGATGGGTGCTGCTTGGGGTGGGTCTCTTTTTTTATTCTCTAGGCTGTACTTCCTTCTTCTCTTTCTTGTCCCCCCTGATGGTAGATCCTTGATGTCCAGTGGGGGAATTGCCACCTTTGCTGTCATGGCCATACTGAGGTGGGTTTTGGCTTCATTAGCTCCTTCAGCTCTTTGTGCCAAGTCCAGTGACTCATAAATTCTTTGTTTCCCCATGCCAGCAAGTTGAGCAGGCTGGTAAAACTATGGCTTGCAGGTGAGCAACATCTATGGTAAGAGAACAGAGGAGGTTGAATGCTGACCCCACTTGAATCAGTTGGTTGACTCCAAACCATCTTTTAAATAAGTTCAACATATACTAGATGATCATGATACTGAAGTAACTGCTGTAACTTCTTACTTACATACTACAAAACACTACCTAGAAACTTTTTCTACAAGATGTATTTTGCAGACACTGGGATGAAATTGTTATTCTTCCAGCCAACAACACTTATGGATTACATTACCTAACCATGGCATTAACAAAGCACTCATGAGATATGTTGACCAAAGCAAATCCTTCCATGCCTTCAAGAGTGGAACGATTATTGTTACTATATGTATGATACAGAACAGTACAACAACTTTTCCCATATCTGCTCTGTGACTATATCCCAGTCACACCACACAGCCATTCCTTCCTCATTTCAAGCTGCGCAACTGCCATCATCTAACACACACTATAATACAACAAGAATGTTGTATTATAGTGTATTAAAATGTTACCCAGACATTTACAAGCAACTTGAGCCCCATTACCTTCCTATCACCAAAGTAGAAACATACATCTACTCTGCCTAACACTGGATATGTTTCCCTAGCAGTGTAGTTTAAAGTACCTTTCAACTGCCAAGACCTTCCATCCTTGGTTTATATAATGGGGCAGTGCTTACAGGTATGGCATCTCTGACCAATGTTTCAACAATACAGACAATTCTGGCACTTTGGCCACCCAGCCAAATATTGCAGATCACCAACAAAATGTTCAGTCTGTAGTGTAGTGGGTCATAATGTTCCATCCTGTGGCTAAACTCATCCCCCATCATCCCCATGCTTCTAGTTGCCTTAACTGTGGCTAAGTACTCCCTGTACATTTTTCTAATGAGAAAGTGAAATACACTGTCTCAGGAAGAAACAGAAGCTATCATACACTATGATAGCTACCTTGGCTCTCCTACTCCAGAGCTACACAACGACTACAGGATTTTGTTGAAACCTCTCCCATAGTTTCTCAGACCCTTAGGACTTTAGTGCTTAGTTTTGATTGTAAGAATAATAAAAATCATAATAATAATAATAATAATAATAATAATAATAATAATCCTACAGTCTCTTGTGCTCAGTCCTTACGAAGTTCTCACCTCTTACGTTCCTAGTTCTTTGCTCTCTCCCATTCTTACAACTTCACCTTCTCAGTCATGGACTGGGCATGGGGGCATTTAATCCTGGAACTCTCTCCTGGTAGGAAACCCCATGCAGCCTTCACTAGCTGGGCTTTTGTCATTTTCCCCAAAACTTCAGACTCAGAACTCGTAGTCATCAAACCTCCTTACCAACCTATTGTTCCTTAATCCTTAACTCTTGCTCTCAGTGTGCCTTGCACCTTGACTCCTGCATCTGTGATAGTTGTAGAAATCCACCACCACTTGCTACCACTCATAAATCCCTTCATCTCTCTTAATCTTTTCAGCTGCCATTATCATTCCTCTCCTACTTTTTCTACTCGCATCACACTACCTGCCACTTCCTTGACTATAGAAACTACTGAGGTCATGTAGGCTTTTATTGAAGAGACAAAGCCCACAGTGGATGCTGAACCACCCATTATCTTCAGTCTCACTCTCCACAACCCCCTACACCTTCTGTTAATACATCTTCTTACTCCAGTTACCTACAGATCTTTTATTATTATGCTAATTTGCTGCTGCCAGTGTACATTGACTTTACTAATCATGCTAGCCCATAGCTACTACTTATAATGCCATAATAATGGCATTATTAAAGTGGTATATCAAAAGATACAGTTGATATTGGAGAATGCTCTAAATGTTGATCTCCCAGGTTTCCTCTGTATGTACAGTGGACCCCCGTTTAACGATCACCTCCAAATGCCACCAATTATGTAAGTGTATTTATGTAAGTGCATTTGCACGTGTATGTTTGGGGGTCTGAAATGGACTAATCTACTTCACAATATTCCTTATGGGAACAAATTCGGTCAGTACTGGTACCTGAACATACTTCTGGAATGAAAAAAGATCGTTAATCGGGGGTCCTCTGTATTTGTTTTCAACAACAAAAAATATGTTAAGCAGTTTGAATTCCAATCTCTGGATTTGTTCTGTTACAGTCAGTCAATCCTTTTCCAGTGAGACAGTGGAAGTGCACTTTTTATACACGATGATATTTCTTGTTCTTGACACAAAGTTCATATTGAAAGTCATATGCAGTTTGTTTTTCATATCTTTTTCCCTTTATGTCCAATATCTATACCTAGCATGTAATTTCTGCTTTTATTAGGTGATTTTAGTGCTCATCATTTGCTCTGGAAAGAGTGCTAATTGTGACTCACAGAGACCAGTTAGAGGCTTTTCCCTACTCTGTACTTTCCATGTCTTGATCACGGTACCCCCTACACTCTCCATGTCTCGATCAATGGCACCACTACACTTTCCGTGTCTCGATCAATGGTACCCCTACACTTTCCATGTCTCGATCAATGGTACCCCTACGCTTTTAGAATCTTGCACCCATACTTTCTCCTTTATAGATCTTCCATTATAGTGTTGGGCTTTGATTGGACAGTAGTAAATGATCTTGATTGCCATCATTTCCCCCTTGTCTCATTACTTCTCATTATTACACCATACCTCATCGTTCCCATTAGTAGCTTGAGCTAGCAGATTGGGAACTTTATACAAACTGTTCCTCATTGCTGATGGTCCCCTAATTCATCCTCTGCAATCAGGTGTTACAAATCTTTATCACCTCTGTTCTCTCTGTGGATACAGTTGCAATCCCCCGAACCATGAGTAAACATTTTCAAAAGTTATGTTAGGTAAAGGGACACAAGTGCAACAATTATGACATTTTTCTGTGGCAATGTTCCCCTCTCCAGGAGCTTTGTCAAGCCGGTACAAACAGTACATGGACACAGAGGGCATATGTAGGCTTACAGTGAGGTATACACAAATTACCCGCACATAGAAGAGAGGAGCTTACGACAACATTTTGGTCTGACTTGGACAATTTACAAATGGTCCAAGTCGAACCAAAACATCGTCATAAGCTCCTCTCTTCTATGTGCAGGTTATTTGTGTATTGTTCCAGTCATGGTATTGTGCCTTTTTTTGTTATTTACAATGAGGTGTGATACTAGCGATAGTAGTACAAGTACCATCCTATTTATGACCGAGCTTAGTTCTGACCAACTGGTCGTAAGTTAAAATGGGCATAAGTTGAACCTTTGAAAATTGCCGACATACTGGGTAGGGCATAATGTCAAACCTTTGCTATATAAACTACCTACATAGTAATGTAATGTAATGTATAATCATTATTCATTCTTTTTACCATAATTTACTTCTATAAATATACTTTAATCATTTATGTACTGTATATTATGTATACATGGTAGTACACTGTATTGTAAATTTTACATCTCATACAGTATCGTATGTTACTGTTATCTTTAAGTATTGTCGACACAGTGGAATGGGAGAATACCACTGGTAGTGTCACCCTGCCAGAATGTCCTATAACCTATGCCCTAAGTAAAGAGAAATACACTCTGGAACATGTGTAATACGTATTTGGCTGGCTAGCCGGCCGGCCGGCTTTTGGTTGGCTGCCTGACTGACTGAATTTGGATCTCTCTCCATCTGTATCTGTCTATCTCTGTCTGTCTGTCTCTGCCTGTCTCTGTCTGTCTCTGTCTGTCTCTGTCTCTCTGTCTCTGTCTGTCTCTGTCTCTCTCTGTCTGTCTCTCTCTGTCTCTGTCTCTCTCTCTGTCTCTCTCTCTGTCTCTCTCTCTGTCTCTCTCTCTGTCTCTCTGTCTCTCTCTCTCTCTCACAGGTACACATAAGTTATCATACATAGTGTAAATTACCTAGGATAACCCCAAAAATTCAGACAAAGTGCTATACTGTGGATCTGTGCTCCAGTGCCCTAAATTAATAAGAACATTAATAATTATTATTATGTATTATTACAATAATACATATGTACTAATATTAATAATAATATTATTATTGTTAAACTATAATAAAATATAGTGTTTACTCATTACTTTAAAATATCTGTAGTCTTAATGTAGAGTGAGAGGTGAGTAAACAATATTAAAAGAATAAACGAGAGAGAGAATGAGTGTAGAAGGTTCGTGAGTTTTGCAGACAAACCAGTTGTTGTTATTGTTGTTGTTACCAGCCCGGACACGAATGGTTTTTGTTCACTCTGTTAAGCTGACTGGAAAAACATCTCATATTTATGTTAATTTATATGTTACATAGCGTGTTTATTATATAATTTTGAAAGAAAATCATAGATGCATTAAGCAAAATGTCTATATTAATGTTTTATGCACATTTATGTGCCTCAGAGTGATTATTATTGTGTTATTATTGTCATTATTAATATGGCATCTTCAAGACCAATAACACACTCTTAATGATTTTAATGTGTAGCTGCACACCAGCGCAGGTGCAAGATGTGAAGTTTAAAGTAGTTGAGTTCATATTTTATTCATTCTAGAGTGTATATCAGGTGTTTATGTTATTTATATTGTTTATTATGTCATATTAGATGAATTGTGATAGATAAATAAGCTATATAGTGATATTAGCATCATATTGATGATATGACAACTCTGCTTCGTGTGTAATACCTGTTGGTTCATGAGTGGCTCTGAGACAGAGAGACAAGCAGACAGAAAGACACACACACAGGTAGACAGACAGACACACAGGTAGACAGAAAGACAGACACACAGGTAGACAGAAAGACAGACACAGGTAGACAAACAGACACACAGGTAGACAGAAAGACAGATACACACAGGAAGACAAAGACAGATAAACACACAGAGACAGATACAGACAGACAGATATACAGGCAGACAGATACAGACAGATTTATGTGCAACAGTGAAAACAAATAGAGAGAGTTTGAAAGTAAGAACCTTTCTTGCCTTCTTGCCACAATCTCCAGTGCAAAATTCAGACTTTCTCTTAGGAACCATGGTGAAATTTACCGTCCAGTTAGTACAGTTAATACAGTATGATGCTGCTGATAGGGCAGGGTAACTCAAACTGATGCTGCCTGCATGATGCATTGCCACCGCGAATTTTATTATTATTATCACACTGGCCGATTCCCACCAAGGCAGGGTGGCCCGAAAAAGAAAAACTTTCACCATCATTCACTCCATCACTGTCTTGCCAGAAGGGTGCTTTACACTACAGTTTTTAAACTGCAACATTAACACCCCTCCTTCAGAGTGCAGGCACTGTACTTCCCATCTCCAGGACTCAAGTCCGGCCTGCCGGTTTCCCTGAATCCCTTCATAAATGTTACTTTGCTCACACTCCAACAGCACGTCAAGTATTAAAAACAATTTGTCTCCATTCACTCCTATCAAACACGCTCATGCATGCCTGCTGGAAGTCCAAGCCCCTCACACACAAAACCTCTTTTACCCCTCCCTCCAACCTTTCCTAGGCCGACCCCTACCCCGCCTTCCTTCCACTACAGACTGATACACTCTTGAAGTCATTCTGTTTCGCTCCATTCTCTCTACATGTCCGAACCACCTCAACAACCCTTCCTCAGCCCTCTGGACAACAGTTTTGGTAATCCCGCACCTCCTCCTAACTTCCAAACTACGAATTCTCTGCATTATATTCACACCACACATTGCCCTCAGACATGACATCTCCACTGCCTCCAGCCTTCTCCTCGCTGCAACATTCATCACCCACGCTTCACACCCATATAAGAGCGTTGGTAAAACTATACTCTCATACATTCCCCTCTTTGCCTCCAAGGACAAAGTTCTTTGTCTCCACAGACTCCTAAGTGCACCACTCACTCTTTTTCCCTCATCAATTCTATGATTCACCTCATCTTTCATAGACCCATCCGCTGACACGTCCACTCCCAAATATCTGAATACGTTCACCTCCTCCATACTCTCTCCCTCCAATCTGATATTCAATCTTCCATCACCTAATCTTTTTGTTATCCTCATAACCTTACTCTTTCCTGTATTCACCTTTAATTTTCTTCTTTTGCACACCCTAACCAAATTCATCCACCAATCTCTGCAACTTCTCTTCAGAATCTCCCAAGAGCACAGTGTCATCAGCAAAGAGCAGCTGTGATAACTCCCACTTTGTGTGTGATTCTTTATCTTTTAACTCCACGCCTCTTGCCAAGACCCTCGCATTTACTTCTCTTACAACCCATCTATAAATATATTAAACAACCACGGTGACATCACACATCCTTGTCTAAGGCCTACTTTTACTGGGAAAAAATTTCCCTCTTTCCTACATACTCTAACTTGAGCCTCACTATCCTCGTAAAAACTCTTCACTGCTTTCAGTAACCTACCTCCTACACCATACACTTGCAACATCTGCCACATTGCCCCCCCCTATCCACCCTGTCATACGCCTTTTCCAAATCCATAAATGCCACAAAGACCTCTTTAGCCTTATCTAAATACTGTTCACTTATATGTTTCACTGTAAACACCTGGTCCACACACCCCCTACCTTTCCTAAAGCCTCCTTGTTCATCTGCTATCCTATTCTCCGTCTTACTCTTAATTCTTTCAATTATAACTCTACCATACACTTTACCAGGTACACTCAACAGACTTATCCCCCTATAATTTTTGCACTCTCTTTTATCCCCTTTGCCTTTATACAAAGGAACTATGCATGCTCTCTGCCAATCCCTAGGTACCTTACCCTCTTCCATACATTTATTAAATAATTGCACCAACCACTCCAAAACTATATCCCCACCTGCTTTTAACATTTCTATCTTTATCCCATCAATCCCGGCTGCCTTACCCCCTTTCATTTTACCTACTGCGAATATCGTCAAATATTGTACAGTGGTATGTATCAGCCGGCCCAGCCTAGCTGCCAGATGTACGGTCATAAGTCGAGTGGACATATGTCGAGCAGGTCGTAAGTCAGATGGTAGGTATAGTAGCAATATATTATGGTAGAACAGTCAACTTGCACATGAGTAAAAGGTAATAAAAGCTATTACTGGGGTACCATAAAAATAGGTTAGACAAATACAGTGGACCCCCGGTTAACGATATTTTTTCATTCCAGAAGTATGTTCAGGTGCCAGTACTGACCGAATTTGTTCCCATAAGGAATATTGTGAAGTAGATTAGTCTATTTCAGACCCCCAAACATACACGTACAAATGCACTTACGTAAATACACTTACATAATTGGTCGCATTGGGAGGTGATCGTTAAGCGGTGGTCCACTGTATTTCTGTTAGTGGTTGGATTTGAAAAGGCCTGTTTCAGTGTTCCTCCTCTGTTATGTTCTTGTGTAGTATTGGCAGCAGAGACTATGTGATAGCAGGGTTTATTGTTTTGAGGAGGATTTTTGCTAATACTTTAGAGATGATGAAGCTGCCTTTATTTTCCTTGATTGTGTTAGAAACGGTGATTAACCCTTAAATCCTTCCAAACATAGTGCTCCGACCTTCATTTTCTCTATAAGAGAGCATGTAAAAAAAACATAGATCTGCGTTTGGACAGTTTAAGGGTTAATGGTGATTCAAGGCATTTACGTCTGTGGAAATTAGGTTTTCTGATCACTATTCGGGCATCGTAGAATTTCATGAGGTAATAGTGTAAACTTCTGCATTGACTGGTTCGTGGTGGTTCAATTTTGTCCTGGTTAGAAGGACCCTGGCTGTTGGGAAGGATTATAACTTTGTTAGAAGTGATGTTGGTACAGGGAGAATTGATGATCTGAAGAACTCTTTCCTTGCAGTCTTTGATGAAAAAGAAAGGAAAATGTAGATCAGTGAAGGTTTGGTGTATGTAAGTACATTCCTCGTCAAGAAACTCAGGACTACAAATTCGGTATTATGCTCTTAGGAAAAATCCAGTGATGATACCTCTTTTGATCTTAGTATCTTGACTGAAATAGAAGTGGGCAAGATCATTTTTGTTGGTAGGTTTATGGTAAACTTGAAATCTTAGCTTGTTATCTACTTTGTGAATGAGGACATCTAGAAAAGGTAACTTGTCATTGGACTCTTCTTCTAGTGTAAACTGGATAGCCGGTTCAGCTGTGTTGCGCCTTGCCTGAAGATTCTGTACATCAAAGTATTTGGGAGTTATTATGAGGACATTGTCCACATAACATAACCAGGTGATGCTGGTGGGGATGATGTTGAAGTGTGCAGCTTCTAGGTGTTCCATATACAAGTTGGCTAAGACGGCACTGATAGGGGACCCCATTCCCATATCATAGGTTTGTTCAAGCAATTGAAATTAATGCAGATTTCAATCAAGTCAACAAAATCTCCAGGAGGTAGAAGAAAATTGACTTTACGAATGTCAGTGGCTTGTGACATTCTATGAAGTAAAGCCAGTCAGGACCTTAATCTTCCTTTACCTCCCGGAGATTTTGTAGTCCTGAGTTTCTTGACAATGAATGTACTTACATACACCAAACCTTCACTGATCTACATTTTCCTTCCTTTTTCATCAAAGACTGCAGGAAAAGAGCTCTTCAGATTATCAATTCTCCATGCACCAACAACACTCCTAACAAAGTTATAATCCTTCCAAACAGCCAGGTTGCACTGAACATTTCTAAGGTACTGGCACAAGCTTACACTAGAGTCACCATCGCATCCAGCACTTCCACAAGGGATCTAACCAGGACAAAATTGAACCACCATGAATCAGTCATTGCAGGAGTTGACACTATACAGTGGACCCCCACATACCATCGGCATCATATAACGTTTAATCAGCATACCGCTCGCTTTTATCGCAAAATTTTTGCCTCGCATACCGCTCAAAAACCCGCTCACTGCTGTTCGTCCGAGACGCGTCCAATGTGCGCCCTTAGCTAGCCTCACATGTGCCATCGGTGGCATTGTTTACCAGCCAGCCTCCTCAGTAACATCCAAGCATACAATCGGAACATTTCGTATTATTACAGTGTTTTTGGTGATTTTATCTGCAAAATAAGTGACCATGGGCCCCAAGAAAGCTTCTAGTGCCAACCCTACAGCAATAAGGGTGAGAATTACTATAGAGATGAAGAAAAAGATCATTGATAAGTATGAAAGTGGAGTGCGTGTCTCCGAGCTGGCCAGGTTGTATAATAAACCCCAATCAACCATCGCTACTATTGGTGGTACAGCTGCTGCTGCTGCTGTAACACCGTCAGCTGCTGCTGCTGCTGCTGCTGCACTGTCAGCTGCTGCTGCTGCTGTAGCACCGTCAGCTGCTGCTGCTGTTGTACCACCGTCAGCTGCTGCTGCTGCTGCTGTAGTACCGTCTGCTGCTGCTGTAGTACCGTCTGCTGCTGCTGTAGCATCGTCTGCTGCTGCTGTAGCACTGTCAGCTGCTGCTGCTGCTGTACCACCGTCAGCTGCTGCTGTAGTACCGTCTGCTGCTGCTGTAGCATCGTCTGCTGCTGCTGTAGCCCTGTCAGCTGCTGCTGCTGCTGTACCACCGTCAGCTGCTGCTGTAGTACCGTCTGCTGCTGCTGTAGCATCGTCTGCTGCTGCTGTAGCACTGTCAGCTGCTGCTGCTGCTGTAGCACTGTCAGCTGCTGCTGCTACTGCTGTAGCACCGTTGTTGGTGTGGCTTATTGAGAATACCAAGAAACAATTAACCCCAGAGGATTTGCCACCCAGGATAACCCAAAAAAGTCAGTGTCATCGAAGACTGTCTAACTTATTTCCATTGGGGTCCTTAATCTTGTCTCCCAGGATGCAACCCACACCAGTCGACTAACACCCAGGTGAACAGGGAAAAATGCCTGGAACTAGTGCTCATATTGGTGAATTTAAAGCCAGCAAAGGTTGGTTTGAGAGATTTAAGAATCGTAGTGGCATACACAGTGTGATAAGGCCTGTTCTGGAAGAAAATGCCAAACAGGACCTACAGTACTCAGGAGGAAAAGGCACTCCCAGGACACAGTGTCTCATCAGTCATTGCTGCATCTTCAATAAAGGTAAGTGTCATTTATTCTTCATTTAGTAGACTAGTACATGCACAATATATACTGTGCATGTACTACTCTACTATTGTGCATGTATCCTTCTCTTTGTGTGTAGAAAAATGTATATTTCATGTGGTAAAATTTTTTTTTCATACTTTTGGGTGTCTTGCACGGATTAATTTGATTTCCATTATTTCTTATGGGGAAAATTCATTCGCATACCAATCATTTCGCATAACAACGAGCCCTCTTGCATGGATTAAAGTCGCTATGCGGGGGTCCACTGTACTTTGTGGAGGCTACAATAGAATATATTTAGGTGAAACAGCAAGGAACCTTGAAACACATCTCAATGAACACATTAACACATGTAGGAATGATAACTTGAACAACGCTTGTGTACAGCACCAAAATTCCACCAATCACCTCATGAAATTCAATGACGCCCAACTAGTGATCAGAGAACGTAATTTCTGCAGACATAAATGCCTTGAATGATCGTTAATTGACTTTTCTAACACAAGCAAAATAAAGGCAGCTTCATCATCTCTGAAGTATTAGCAAAAATCCTCAAAGCAATAAACCCTGCCATCACATAGTCTCTGCTGCTAATACTACACAAGAACATAACAGAGGAGAAACACTGAAACAGGCCCTCTCAAATCCAACCACTAAAATATTTGTCTAACCTATTTTTATGGTACCTTAGTAATAATTTTCATTACCTTTTACTCATGTGCAAGTTGATTGTTCTACCATATTGTATTATTACTACTACTACAACTAATATTACTACTACAGTGGAACCTTGACTTATGAGTTTAATCCATTCTGTGACCTAGTTCGTAACTCAGTTTGCTCGTACAGTGGAATCTCTGCTTACGAACTTAATCCGTTCTGTGACCTTCTTTGTATCCTGATTTGTTCATATGCTGAGTTAATTTTCCTCATTTAAATTAATTGAAAAGCCATTAATCTGTTCCGGTGGAATTCATGACCTCAGAGGCCGGAAAAATACACTTCAATATTATGCTAATATCAACTCTATGGCTTATTTATCT